CTTCAATGCACAATCATTACAACTGAGTCTAATCACAATTTCCCACAGCATAGGAACAGCCAGTGGAGAAAACCCAGGCTGGGTAAGAAAAGAATCGAGACAGCCATCTTTTTAAGCATGAACACTGCCCAGAGCAGCAGGTATCCCTGTTATGTACCCAGAAGCCTAAAATGATGCTTGGCCTACGGTAGCTGCTCAACATTTGCTTCGCCATGTACTGTTATTCGAGCATCATATAATTTTTACATGTCACAAAATATTATTCTTCCTTTGAAAATGTCGACCACTTAGAATGTAGAAACCATCCATTTCTCATAGAAAGGCTTCCTTTGACCAGAGCTTACCACTTGTCCAGCTGTACTATGTTCTTGCATGTGATGACAACATGTGATAAGCATCCTTGTAAGCAATACCACCCAAGAAGTTTCTCTGAGCACCGTGCTGACAAAAACATCCCTGTGCAGAAGGTCACTGTGACTCCATGCAGACTAGAGAGTCAAGTACATGCTGATTGGCATGAACACAAGTGCTCGTGATGAAAGCCAAGTGGCAGGCTTGGTCATTGTCCTCCATATCGTCTCAGACCTAGCTGGGCCAGGTTCCCCGAGAGGCGATCTACTCTTTGCCACTCCACTCCTTTGCCGGCACTGTCCTGTCTACCTAAGATGCCTCCTCTAGCCTCCCACTTCTCTCTTCCTGTGAGAAATCCTCCCTTCTGCCTTCCTCCCTAAATCTTCTCCTATCTGCCCCCCCCCACACACTCCAGCCAATTCTGTCCCTTAGCACTGTATCTCCTGTTATAGCCGCTGTATTTGAAATGTATTAAATGGATTCTGTTCCCTATAATAATTGTGTAGATGATCTCCCGCCTCATGAATTAATCAACTCAGTGTCAGAGACTGTGTGCTGTCCTCTCAGTGAGGTCCCTGCTAGGAGTCTACAATGGATTCAATGAATATTTGTGAAATTAAATGAACAGCCTAAAATGGCTCAGAACAGAATCACTTAAAGAATTTGAAAAGCCCTTTGCAATCTCACAAAACAAGGAAATAAGTAGTTTTCATATTTCAGAGCCTCTTCTAAAATGAAGCTGTAGATCATAGGAGAGAAAGAAGACATTGTTTCTTTTATTAAATTGAGTTCCTATTCATCTTATGAAAAAAAAATTTTGAAAAATCAAATTATTGAAGCTTAATTAACTGTTATAATTGGCCGTAAATGAAAGGCTCCCAATTAGCTGTGAATTGAGTGACGAAAAGGAATCTTGTCAAGACAGACTCCCTGGACCCTAATAATAGCTAGAAGCAATTAGCCACATGTGTTCATGAAGCACGGTGGAGAAGGAGGACGCAAGCTTGGCTGAACAGGTTGGAGAGCAAGTCCTCTGTGCTAAGAAATGCAAACCACCAGAGCAGACTCGCTAGTTACTCAGAGAAGGACTGGCCATGCACAGGGACTGCTAGAACGTCCTGGTTTTCTTTGAATTCATCTTCTCTTCCTTGATCCAGTGTCATGTGTTTGTCTCATTCCTCCTGGAACCATCAAGACATCACCAAGTCATAAGAAGAACAGCTCATTGTTTAAGACCGAACTGGCTGCTAGAAGCCAATTATCTGTAGTAGTAGACAAAAATTAACTTTTGCTTGTCTCACACAGACACCTAGCACTTCCCTCCTGACATGTTGTGCAGGGGTGGTGTTCCTACACACCAGGCAGTTTTTTGGCTCCCCTCCAGCAGGGTGTTTTATAATTGAATTAGATTCTGGCACTATCTACCTGGAGTTAGAGTCAGAACCCACGGTTTGAGGGCTCAAGGTGGTTCCATATTCTACACGCTAACTGCTAGTTTAGGATTTCAGAACCTCTGACCAACTGGCTATACATTAGAACTTCTCATGACCCCCGCCTCAGGTTCAGACATTTTCTAGAACGGCCCACAGAACTTAGCAAACAGTTTACTTACGTTTACCCATTTATTACAATGGGTTATAGCATTCAGATAGAAGAGATGCAATGAACAGATATGAGGAAACAGGCACAAAGTCTCCATGTCCTCTTGGGGTACACTCCCTTCCATGTGCTCAGCAACCCAGAAGCCCTCTAAACCCAGCCCTTTGGGGGTATTTGTAGAGACATCAATGCACAATCATGTTCAATCCAATCATAGATGATAATCAATTAGTGATTCATTTAACCCTCAGCTCCTTCAGGTCAGGAAACCTCTAATCAATAGTTGGTTCCCCTGATGTCTTAGTAACTTTTTCCATTACTGTGATAAAACACCACCACCCAGGCGACTTTATAGGAGGACGTGTTCATCTGGGCTTATGGTTCCAGAGGGCCATGCGTCCATCGCCATCACGGTGGGGAAGCATGGCGGCAGGCAGGCATGGCATCTGGAGCAGACGCTGAGAGGTCACATCCTAAACAGCAAACCTGAAGGAAAGGGGATAAACTCACAATGACTCAAGTCTCTAAACTCCAGAGCCTACGTCCAGTGAAGTACATCCTCCAACAAGGCCACACCTCCTATGCCTCCCCAAACAGCACCACCAACTGAGGATCAAGCAGCCGATGGGGGGCCATTCCCCTTCCAACCACCACACCTGTTAACCGGCTGCTACACTGAAACCATCCAGGACCCTCATTATCAGTCACTTCTTTACTGTGCTTCAAGATACTTCTCATTTCCAAAAATTCATGTTTGGGGAGCTATGCTCCAGAAAAGGGATTTAGAGAGCACACAGGGACAAAGACCCAAATTTATTTCTTGTTATATCACAGTAGCCAAGCTGTGAAAATTTTACTGGGGTGTGAGGCATTTCTGTCCCAGTTTGCTGGGAGATTTAACAATGAAAACTAAATGTGTGCTTATGGCTTCCTTTACTTCTGATTTGATGGGTATGTTGCTATTTCAGTGGGTGGAGTTCCAAAACAAGCAATAAAATGTCAGAGGCAAAATTAGTGAGATCACTAAAAGTCTCTGAAAGCCAGCTGAACATCATGATTGGGTAGACTGAGGCCAGGTTCATGAACCGTTAGCAGTCTAGCTCATCACAGGAAGGCACTTACTGTGAAAGACATTTTGTAGGGTCCTTAGATCGCTCCAAATGAGCAGAAGACACCCAATATGCAGTTGCAGAAAGCAGCTTTATTCTTGAGAAAAACCAGCATGCAGGGGCCCACCCAAGATGGCTTCAAGCCTGGGAGAGGGTAAGGCAGTCATTTTAAGCCTGCTTAGGGGAATTTCAGCTGTGGTTAAGTGTCCTTTGAAGTGACTGGATATGGACCCTTACTGATACAGGAATCATTTTATGATTGGCTCACGACATCTGGTCAGCAACTGTGGTTGCAGTGTCAGGGGTCTGTCTGTCAGCTGTGTCAGGGGTCTGTCTGTCTGCTGTGTCAGGGGTCTGTGTGACTGAAAATAACAAGAACAGTTCCTGCTTGTAGCCAGGCAGGACCCTGATTGGCTACCAGACTGGACATACTTCCTGAGGGCTTGGTTGAAGCCAGACATGAGTCAACATAGGATAGTGAGGTTATATGGGGCAGAGGTCTTAGCAAACTGGCCCCTGGTCCCCTCACATTTCAGGTATAATTTCCATGCCATATAAGCAGTTGTTTTAGTTAGGGCATCTATTGCTGTGAACAGACACCATGACCATGGCAACACTTATAAAGGAAACATTTAATTGGGTGGCTTACAGTTTCAGAGGTTTAGATCATTATCATCAGGGTATGACATGGCGGCATGCAGGTAGACATGGTGATGGAGAAGGAGCTGAGAGTTCTACATCTTGATCCGCAGGCAATAGGAGACTGTCACACCAAGTGTGGCTTAAGCATATAAGAGACCTCAAAGCCCACTTCCTCAGTGACACACTTCCTCCAAGGCCACACCTACTCCAACAAGGCCACACCTACTCCAACAAGGCCACACCTCCTAATAGTGTCACTCCCTTGGGGGCCATTTTCTTTTAAACCACCACAGTAGTCAAGAGTAAGTCAGCCCTTAAAACATCATGCAGCCTACTGTGGTGTGCAGAGGCAGAGATATGGGTTGGGCAGTTAGATGATGCTGTGGAGTTCCATAAAGGGAAAGCCTGGTTTCAGAGTCCTGTGTTAGCTAGACATCTGGACAAAATGGAACTGGAATCAAGGGGCTGTAGAGACACTCTGGGGAGAGTTTTCATGCAGTTGTGATAAGTGAAGATCACCCTAAAAAATCTGTGGGCAGCATAATTTGAGTCTTACCTAATAATTTTTTTGTTTTTTTCCTTTTATTGAAAATAGATTTTCTACTCCTCCTAGATCCACCCCACTTTCCTTCCATCCAGATCTACCCCCTTCCTGTCTCTCATTAGAAAATAAGCAGGCTTCTCTGGGATTATAGTATACTATGTAATATAATATAACATAATATGATAAAATAAAAACCAACACATCAGAATTAGCAAAACAAACAGAAGGAAAAGAGCCCAAGAGAAGGCACAAGAAGCAGAGACCCACTCATTTGTACTTAGGAATCCCATAAAAACACTAAACTGAAAGCCATGATATGCAAACTGGAAGCCATAATAAGCAAGGAACCTGTAGGGTAAAAAGAGAGAAGAAAAATATGTAAATAAAATAAGAGTAAGAATAAAAAATAAAAATATGGTTTTTGTTTGTTTTTTTTAAAAGGGAGAGTCCTGACATGATATTATGAGACATGGAACCTCTAAAGATGCCACTGGGTTCATTTTCTCCTGGCCATCTATTGCTGGGCATGCAACCTACCCTTAAGAGTATTGTGTTTCCCTAGTAAAACTCCCTAGCAGGAAACTAAATTTTCATTTGCAAGTGGTTATCGATTGGAGATAGCTCCTGGGCTAGGGATGAGGAAAATGTGTCCACTCCTTTCAACTCTAGGACCCCATCTGGTGCAGACCTGTACAGACCCTGTACAGGCTGCTCACTCTGTGAGGTCATTTGTGCGTCGGTCATGTTTATTTAGAGAGCTTTTATTTGGCAGCACATACATTAAAATTGGAACATTACAGAGATTAGCGTGGCCTCTATGCAAGGATGGCACACAAATCAGCGAAGCCATACAGTTATTCCACAGAAGAAGAGGCAGAAAGAGTGTCAGAGCCGGAGGGGATGGAGGACACCAAGAAAACAAGGTTACTTAAAAACTATCAAGAAAAGAATGAATGTGTGAGAAAAGGGGGCAATGTACTGAGTTTCTAAACTGCTTTTTACTTTAGTAAAACCTCATTTTACCTACTAACTATTCTAAGCTGATACTTGACAAATCTACCAAGGAGAGAAAAATAATTAGCTGATTGTCATCCTCAACATAGGAACCTAGAATATGTAGGTAGGGGATAATATATATGTTTTATAATTGTTCTTTTGGTCTGTGCTACCATTTCCTTTTTTCTCAAAGAGAAAGTTAACTTTAACACCTCCATACCACACCCACACCCCACACCTTGTGCCAAAAGGCAGGCATGGTGGTTGATGCTTGTAATCCAGGCACTCAGGATCCCTGAGAGGCTGAGGCAAGAGGATCATGAGTTCAATGCCACATGGTGGCACCCTGTAGGAAACAATCAAACAGAAAAACAAGAATAGAAAAGACTGCCATGGAAATAAACAGAAATCAGAAGAAGTCAACAAAACATACAAATACAGAAGCCGTTGGTGAGGGTATGCTGCGGGCTAAGGGGAACTAGAAAATGGAGCTGAGAAAGGGCCAGGGTGGCTTGAAGAAGGTCACTTTCCTGTAGAGAAGCAGCAGGGTGGAGGGAAGGAAGATGGCTTCCCATTCCCAGGACAAGAAGATATCAAGGGAGTGGTGTGTGATCCCGCCCAGGGAGTGAGACCAACATGGTAACAGAGAGTAAGAACCGCTGAGGTGAGCAGATTACTAAGATCCAGAACTGGCTGGAAAATGTCTTCTGAAACCTGAAGGAAATGCAGTTTTCACAGACACATGGACGCATGGTAAAGTCCCGCTGTGCCAGTGAGAAGGCATGGGCACAGCACAGAAAACCTGCAGCCAGAGAGCGCATGCCTGCTGAGAGGCATTACAGTGTTTCTGTGAAAAGTGTCATTTTGGGGGGCTGGAAAGATGACTGTGGTTAAAAGCACCGGCTGCGCTTCCAGAGAACCCAGGTTTGGCTTGTGGAATTCCACAGAAGCGACTGAGTCCACCATGACACTACTGTATCTAGGGCGGGGGAGGTGTGGCAGTGGCTGGGAGGGGCAGGTGCCCCGATTATGCAGTTCAGTCACAAACAATGTGGTGAAGGAGTGGTTTGGTGGTGGGGAGGGTGGGCCACCAGGTGGGGGTGTGTCCGTGGTGGCAAATTCTCAGAAGAGGGCTCATTAACAGTGGTTCTGGTTCCAAGGTGCCACCGCAGAGGAACCACACTGTCCGTGGGAAGCAGGACACACCCACCAACTCTTCCTTTGGGGACAGTGGGTCTGTTAGGTTCCAGGCAGCTTTCTCTGCTGGGCCAACTGCCTCTGAGGACTACAGAGGTCCCGTAGTGACCAGCCTTCCAGTGTCCAAGGTGGTTCCAGTCCTCTGATGGACATGGATTCTGTCATTTAGTTGTTTTCTCAGGATGTGGTACTTTATTCTTTGCTTCGGCTGTCCTTGTGGGGGGGAGGTGGGCACTAGAGAGATCTATCTCATTGACATGACTCCACCAAGACCTCTTCAAAGTCAAGACTAAGAATATGAACAACTCAATTAAAATGTAGGCAAAGACTTTAACAGTTCACCCGGGAGGATCTTCAGATGGAAAGTAAGCATGTGAACAAACCTTCTATGTGATTTGTCCCTAAGGAAATGCAAATCAAAACAACCATGCAATCCTATCGCACATCAATTAGAATGGCCAAATACAAAACCCAGTAAATCCTAGCCATAAGAGCGGCGGTCTCCATTCATTATGGGGGGGACTAAAAAAATGCTGTGAACTATGGAGACAGTGTGGCAGCTTGCAACAAAACTAAACACACCCCCACTTTACAGCAATCATGCTTTTGTGTTTACTCAAGTGACTTGGAAATGAATGCCCACCCATGGATGCTGGTGGCAGCTTTCTTCATGATCCAGAACTTGGTGGCAACCAAGGGTCCTTTAGGTAAATGGGCAAGGAGATCGTGGCCTGTCCAGACAACGGGATTTTATCGTGGCCTGTCCAGACAACGGGATTTTATTCAGCAAGCTGTTCTCTGGCCTCCACACGTATTTTCCCTCCACACACAAGTATATAAACCAATGTAATTTTGAAAAAAAGTTAAGCTGTCAGGGCTGGAAATGTAAATTTCATTTAATAAAATGAGGATTTTCATGTCTAACTCCAAGCGCTTATTTTCTTCAGAAACGCTGTACTAACCAGCTTTGCATGAGACTTCAGTGAAGAAGGAGAATTATTGTAAGTGAACAAGGTTTCCATTTCACATTTCAGCATGTCTAAACGTGGGCAGTTTCTCCAGTCTCCTAATTGCCAAGAGATCCGCTGGATTTTTAAGTTACTTGACTAATTGCCTATAGTCTTTAGAAATAACATTTTAGATACTGTTTGTCCTTAAGCTGTCGCCGGTGAGCAAGTAACCTGAGTTCGGCTTGCTCGCACGGACAGAAATGAACAGGGTCAGTGCTGACCCCTACTGTTAGGCGAGGGTATGGGCTGCCACTCGCAATGGCTTTGGAAGGCACTGGGAGCAGGACAACCAAGTTGCCGGCGGAATCCCGGGAGAGCCTTGCCTGTCCGTCATCCTGAAAAGGGGGATGATATCCTTAAACTTTTGAGATAAAGGTGGAAGGTTCTGGAAATGGATAAATGAATATCAAGAAAGCTGTCCAGTTTTCACTCACGAGCTTTCCTGGGGGCTCTGACGTCTTTAGCAAATCTTAACTTTTTTTTTTTTTTTATCCTGTATTGTTTCTGTCCTGTGACACGTTACAAAACACTGCAAGGCTTCAGAACTATTTCTGGGGTGGGGGGGGGAGGGAGAGGAGTACTTCCCTCACCCTGCTCCTCTTGCCCCAGCACATTGGTCTAGAATCTAAACTGGCTATCTCTCAGTCATCTTTATTTTTCCTCTCGAGATATTTTCCACCGTAACTTGGTCATAGCTGTTGCATTGTGTCACGCTGCCTATTTTAAAAGCTGTGTATCATGTGAGGTCCCACACATCAGCTCCTCACAGTTAGGTAGGTGTCCCGTGAATAGCTGTAACCTAGAGCGTGGGAAGCGACCCAGAATGCAATCGCAATCAAATAGAAACACACACAGCCTAGCTAAGGGCTCAGTGGGATGCAATTGTTAGGCAGGGATTTCTATAAAACTCAAAAAATGTCAGCATCTGACATTATTCACCCTTGTCGACTCAAAGGGGGTTTGAGCAAGCCTGGAAGGATAGACTAGAAAACTCGGGAGCTTTGATATAGATGATCACTTACCCCCACCTCCCACACCACCCCTCTCACAACACCCCAGGTAATCGCCCTAGCTAGTTTTATAGTTGTCTCCTTGTATTCCTGCTCCTCACCCTCTTACCTCCTTTCCCTGATGGATTATGCATCAGAAAACAATATACTTGTTTCTAAGAACTATGAGGGATTATGCCGTCTTCCAAAATAAAGAACTTCCTAAATTGGTGTGCTGACTCATGCCTCTAATCTTAGAACTTAGGGGACTGAGGCAGGTGGATAGCCATGGCTTCAAGGCCAACCTTGGCAACACAGTGAACTCTTGGCCAACCTAGGCTACAGAAGGACACCTTCTAGCAAAAAAGGAGGTGGGGATATAGGAAAAAAAGAAGCCAAGGGAAAAAGAAACTCAAAATTGGCCACAGATTTCAGTGTAAAATGCAAAGTATTAAAAAAAAATTGCATAGTCTTTTTGTTTGTTTTCAAATCAACTCAAACAAATGAGTTCATCACATTTTTTTTAAGTTTCTGAATTTTTCTTGGTAATATGAGCACTTACAGTGGCAGTCATTTTTGAACAGAAGGATATAGGAGCTGAACAAGCTTGAGGTTTAGGTTCTTCAGGATAGGAGCATGGAAACCCTTTTGTGCATACAGATGTCATCAGAGCCTTTGTGTACAACTGCTCTTCCAGATTGGCGTTTCCAGAACCCACAGTCTCCAGTAACACCTGACAAGCATTTGTTTCCCAGGCACCATTTTATGGTCGTTGAAATAGAAATCTTTACGTAGTGTGACGGGAGAGTTGCCGGCAAGTTGCCATGCTTTTTCTACTGTGGTGACATTGTTGTCGTGCAGGTTTAAAAACAGGGACCCAGACATTGAGTACCCGGAATCAAAGCACCGCCCCACCAACATTAGGACCTGAGCCTTTCCATTGTATATGTCCACCTCGGTGACCTTGTTTCCTTAGTAAATAAGGTGCACTTGATAGTACTGTTAACAACGCTTAGTCAATGTTTTGTTGCTTTGAGGAGACACTATGACCAAGACAATTCTTATGAAAGAAACCATTTAATTGGGACTTGCTTATAGTTCAGAGGTTCAGTCTGTTATCATGGCAGGAAGCATGGTGGTGTGCATGGAGCTGGAGCGGTAGCTGGGTTACACCTTGATGGGGGGAACCTGGGCCTGGCATGGCTTTTTAAACCTCAAAGCCAACCCCCAGTGACACACTTCCTCCAACAAGTACCCACCTACTCCAACAAGGCCACAGCTCCTACTCTTTCTAATCCTATCAAATGGTGCCAGTGCCTGGTGACCAAGTTATTCGGATCTATGAGCCTATGAGCTTCTTCAAACCACCACAACATCTAGCCCTAGCCTTGGCGTTGCCCACGTTACCACAAGCTGCAGTTCTTAAGTACAGTACGTTACTCAGCAGATTCTGTCTGATCAAAGAAACGCCTCAGTTGTTGACGGGCCTTGCTCATTTAGTCGGTGTCCACTAGGAAGTGCCGATTTTAGAAGATGCTTGATTGACTGAAAGAACCTCACTAGTAATAATGGGGATAGATTAGGGTTATTAACATTCCTTAAATTTTCTCCGAGGAAGCTAGAAAAGCCCCTGCTGGAAATATCATTTCCTTTTCTGCCCTCCCCTTT